TAAAGTAGATAAAGCAATAGAACAATTGAAATAATAATTAATAATGATAATAATATTAATGGTGTCAGTCCTAAACGCAGCAGGAGGTTAACCCAGCTGAAAAGAACAGTTCATATTATGTCTTGAGTAGAATCAGACAAAGAAATTTAAAGTCCAGCCTCCACCATGTGCTCTTAAGGGGTACTCACTACCATAGCCAGTGTTTCCCCTACCATTATACAAGAGGGGCGCCCTGCCCCGTCAACAGAACCGAGCGTCCCGCCTACTGAACCGTGCACACACACACACACACACACACACACACACACCCCAATTCCACCTGACGGCACTGACGTAGCGCTACGGCACACTAAGCTAGCGGCTCGCAACACAGGTACTCTACAGGCAGCCTCTTCCCTCATGCTGAACCCTCACGCTGACCCCCCCCGCCCAAAAACTATCCGCATAGACAATGCTGCGCAGCTCTGGACATGTCTCCCGACAAAAATCACGGACAAGATGAGTGCCCTGCCATGGCAAGTTATCAAGAGGAAACACTGATAGAATACAATGGTAGGCTATGGAAATGTTAAAAAAAACAACCAGTAAAAGAAACACTCAAGCACAAGGCTGGTGATTACCGAAGGCTGATGACATCACACCAGGGACTGCACACAGTGTGACGCGCCATGTGCTCTTATTCACTTTCCCCTTCTAAAACAAATAATGGATCTCCTACTGCGTTGTCAAAGTTCTCACTGTTGGTGTTGTTCATCTCTGCCTCTTCTGTTCAAGAAGGCTCTGACTCTGCACATTTATCCAGGTCTTTGACCATGCTATAGGCTTAGACTGCTGGAGGACACACTGACCACACTTTTTCACTCTGCTACTGGCTTTACTTACTCTGCTCACCTGTTTTGTATTTGTAATTATTTTTTCTATCCTTAACATGTGGGGGGGGGGGGGGGGTTTGTCTTTCAGATACACCTGGACTTATACCTGGACCTACCATTCTGTGTTCATCTGTCTCTCCTTCCTGTCCTCTCAACCAGCCGGTCAAAGCAGATGCCTTCTCGTCCTGAGCCTGGTTCTGCTGGAGGTTTGTTCCTTTAAAAGGGAGTTTTTCCTTTCCACTGTTGCCACTGTGCTTGCTCAAGATGGGAGACTGCAACAAAGCCAAGATTCAACTTGTCTGCTGGATTCTTTAGATAGAGAACTTTACTAATTGGCTTTTATGTATGTGAATGTTTCTGTAAAGTGCCCTGACACAACTTTGTTGTGATTTGGTGCTATAGAAATAAACTGAATTGAACTGAATGTCTTGGTCTGCAGCTCCATCCCCCACCACATACAGAAGCTACAGCTTCACGTTCAACAACTGCCTCATCGTTTTGATTCAAACCCACTAAAACTGACTAAACACACTACCAGGGATTAAAGCAGAAAATAATGTTGGACTGAATTTTTTTCTACACCAGGAGGTAAACCAAGCACCTAAATACCACACATTCAAGAGTGTTTTCCTGCTTTCAGGTCACTTTCCAAAGGTGTTCAGGTAAAGAGGAGTGCACTGAGTACATTTTTTCTTCTTCTTCTTCTTTCAGCTGCTCCCTTATTCAGGGGTCACCACAGCGAACTAACTCGCACGAAGACCTGGCAATTGTTTTTATGTCGGTTGTCCTCCCTGACACAACCACAGACCACTGAGCTACCACAGCCCTCTGTGTGGAGCAGAGAGCTGCCGTCTAGGTGCCCGGGGGGAGCAGATGTTCACTCTGTCACTCACCTACTAACAATTTAGAGTTACCAATCAGCCTAACATTCATGTTTTTGGTTTGTGGGAAGAAACTGGAGAACTAGGAGAACACGGCTGCGTGGAGAGCACACGCAAACTCCACCCAAAAATTTGAAATTTATTTGTTTACTTCCTATTCAACAAACTGTTGTAGCATAATTTTGAACTTTTTCCTCCAATAAAAGCTGCTTGATTTTTTTCTTTTACAACCCATTCCTACTAGACTGTTTGTTCCTGTTCTCAATTACCCTTGTAAGTAAGTAAGTAAGTAACTAAGTAACTAACTAAGTAAGTAAGCCTTTTTTTTTACCCAGCAGGGAATTATGAAATTTTTGTAGTAACAAACTCAGTCTTTGAGGTGAAAAAGGTTTATCACAAGTCATTAAATTTAAATTGATTAATATAATTCGTACCAGTGAAAAACTTTACCTGAACAATAATCAAAGAACACAAAGAAAGATTTGATGGGAAAAAAAAATGGCCAATTTCTGTGACAGATGACAACTTTTCACATTGTTCATAGGCCTGTTGCAATAAACAATAAATCAATTAATCGCATGATAAATGAAAATTATCAGCCTCATTTTCATTTATCGGCTTTATCGTTTCTTTGCGTGACATGTCAAAGGGCCTCCCTCCCATTTTTCTTAAAGAGACACGCTGCTCATTCCCTCCCTATCTATCATTTGGTTCAAAAAGTCTTATACTGCCATCTGGTGGTCAAAAAAGGTACTACACTCAAAACAAATTAACCAACATTTCTTCTTAAATTTGACAATAATTACTAATTATTGTCAAATTTCAAATAATATCATTTATCGCAATAATTTCTGATACAATTAAATCACCCAGCAAAATTTGTTATCACGACAGGCCTATGTGGAATTTTGCAATGTTAATTTATCATTTTAAACGTTGTGATGCTCTATTTTTTCAGCCATTAATTTATATATATATATAT